ATGAATGAATGAATGAATGAATAAATAAATAAATAAATAAATAAATAAATAAATAAGGGGTGAACTATCTAGGGAAATTGAAGCTTTTCTCCTCTGTGAGTCTCTGTAATTCTACTGTGTAGCAAAGGAGTTTTATCAGAAATTCATAACTCTGCAACAGACCGTGCTATTTTCTTTCCACAAATTGCTGAGTTTCTACACAAAATTTCACAATTTGTGAATTGACCAAATTGTGCCAATGACCCCAAATTAGAATGATTGTTGGCTTATTAAAGAGTTAAGATGGTTGCTGGTATCTTCTGCAACATGAGCAAGACTGCTGTGCATTTTCTGTGTGCATTTCTTTGCTTATCAAAGGGGAAAAACAGTGGAGGCGTTTCACATATACTATGCAGACAGGTGATGGGATCTCTTTGTCTCAATTGCAGCTGGACACAAGAGCTCAAAAACCCCTCACTTAGGTGTCTCGTTTTATCAGGATAGTCTAAACTGAAGAAGAATGAGGTATTTCATGACTATTCCTTCTAGCCCTACTCAGCAGACTTAAAGGATCTTAGAGGCTGGCCATAGCTTCGAAGCCAAAATCAAAATTAGTTCAAGAGGCTCAAACTGCTTTCAAGGCCTAAATGATTTGGAATACAAGTATCTGAAAGAGTGCCCTTTCCTGTACTAGCATCCTGCATGTGGAAATCGTTGGCCGACATCATTCGACAAATATAATCTCCACTAGAGGTAAGGCTTGTTACATGGGAATAAGCTGTTTTAAAGGCCACAAGGGATACATTTCAGGGCTTAGCTGAGAAAGATTAAACCTCTTCATGTTTTACAGTCCAAATGTAGATTCCCCCCCCCCATGCCTATCTTTGGACAAAGAAAAGGCACAGATGCAGCTGCACATTAAGTATGACAAACAAGATACAGGGAGAAAAACTATGGGTTGTAAATCTCTGCTGCCATGCTACGTGAAGGTATAAAAAAAATCCTCCTGTCTTGCATCTGGATGGCAATGTTCAAATCACTGTATGTCAATTTTGTTGTGGGTGCCGAAAACTAGGGAGACAAAAAAATGTTAGAAGTTCTTTCTATGTTAGCAGAATACATGCTGTCATCAGTCCCACTGTGGATTCACCATGAAGCGGAAGAATCAGTTAAGAATCAAATAACTAAAATTTTACTGAGAAAGTTACATTTCAGATTTTAAAAAGGCTAAAGTGCAATCCTAACTAGGCAGGCACATGCTCCAGAGAGTGCATGGCAGAGGAGAGATGGCATGTCTGCTCCTGAAAATATCAGTCTAACAACAGGTGTAGGGATCAAAAGGACAGATGAGCTTTCCTGACATCTGCTCTCAAATCTCCCTTCTAGTTCTTTGGGGTTGGAGAAGTCCAAAGAAACAAAGCTTGGAGGTCAGGTGCTAGGCCAACACAAATTAGGACAAGGAAGGTCAAAGAGCCTTAGAAAAATTCATTACCTCAGCCCCTGATCAGAACCTGTAAAGTTTCTTCTTTAAACTAACTAGTTATCATTATATTTCTAAGCTACATAAGTAATTACTTACTGTAAAGAGATGAACAAATGGAATGGGCTACAGGAAATTATAATGTGTACCGGGAAAATCATGAGCTGTGGGGGAAGAAAGACCAACAGAAGCTAAACATTTGAATTGCCCCAGTCCTTGTGATTGGGCTCTGTCACTAGAATGGCCAGGATGAATCTCAAAGGAAACAGGTTCCTGCCTCTCCTGTGATTTATAATTAGATGGGAATAATTAGATGAAAGGATTAGCCCTGATGGCAGTACTTGATGATGTATCTGTAACCTCAGGCTTTATTTCTCTACAAAGAAGCCTAAAACAGGCAGATAGGGGAGAGAGAAGGAGCATCTTCTAATTGGGGGTAACACTTCCCTTCGTCTCTCCAGCAACAGGTCTGTTTGTATGAGAGTAGACCTTATTCAGGAAACAGTATGGGTTAAGAAGAAGTAAAATCTAGGTTAGATACAATTTCTTATGTTCCTAAGTGTGTACCTTCTTTGAAAGGATCCAGAATTGATTTTGTAACATGTTGTGATTTTTGTTCCATTTTACTAAGAAATTTTTGAGTAACCTTTCTGTTCTTAATAATCATTTTATCTTTTCCCTGACTTCTTTTTTCTCCTTTTTAATGAAATACATAAAATCCTATCCAGGAGGGGGGGGCGATTTTTGTGTGCAGAGGAACTCCAGGTATTTATTTCTGGTGTCCGAACCACATTGCCAAAATACTGGAGTTTAAAGAAAGTGCATGTGGGGAAGGTGGCAGTGGGAAAAAATGAGTGCATGAACAGAGAGGTGTGCTTCTTAAAAGCCACAACCAGAGGAAAGGGGTTGTGTGTCAAGAAGTAAAGAGAAAATGGCTCAGTAGGTTCTCTCACCCCTGCGCCTTCTTAGAATTCCCCCAACTCAGGATGGAAAGGGCTAAGGAGTAAAGGGACTATTGGACTATTCTTCAAAGTGGTAAAGTGCCTAAAACAGATGCATTCGATTATTTTTTTTTAATAATGTGAATGCTCCAAACCACTAGCATCGAGAAACGAGACTCTCCTCCTTCCTTTCCATCTGATGTTCACCTCAACAGTGGAAGGCACAGCACTGAGTCAGCATCTGAGCCAGGCAATATTCCTTGTCTACCATCTAATGAAGGCACACCATCCTACGTATAAAAGTAATTTTGAAATGAACTGTTACACTGTTCAAAGAGTGGTGGTCTACCATTAAATTGTAATTGCAATATACCATGATTAAATCAAATTCTTGGGGTGATTAAATGCAAGTTACTAATTATTTGTA